CCAGGTCCCCCATATATGTGTAAGTTGCTTACGCCTGCCTGTGAAAAGAACCATTTTGAACCTGAAAAAAATGATAAGTTCCCTAAAAAACTTATATCATCTGGAAAATACTTTTGGGAATTCACATACCACAGGTAGCTCATTAATCAGCACTCTGATTTCCGCACTCATAGATGCAAACATCACAAACATCTGCGCCTCATCATTCACAGTCTCATTCATCTGCTTAACCGACATAAACACTCCCTCATCTTCATTGATTTCAAGGAATGACACAGATTAGTTGTAATTGTTGATATGCATATGGTTGAACTTCAATCATTTCTTCCCAATGATAACATCATGTTTATTTAGTGATAGATAAACTAAATCCATCCCAAAATTCTTACCATAGATAGTTTAATGGAAAGTTTAAACAAACTAGAGAAGTAGTCACTGGACCCAGATTCGGAGTGTCAACAATCATACTCTCGACCATGGACGATAACTCTAAACCCAACTGCTTAGTACAATCAAAAGAAATGAAAGAATGTGTTGCACCAGTGTCAATAATATCAATAAGAAGAATACTTTTAATAAAACGCGTACCTCAAATTAATTTGTTTGTACTAGTAGTCTTAACACCAGACAAAACAAAGACCTTTTCTCATGACTGATTCTTTTTATGCTTCTGACAATTGATATTGATGCGACCTTGCTCTCCACAGTTGTAGCAAGTGTCGGCATTACTCCTGCAACCTGCAGCTCGATGCCCTGACTTCCCACACTCGAAGGAGTTTGCAATCGTACTTTTACACTCAGAGATGTGATGCCCAAACTCACCACATTTATAACACCTCATAGAATTAGGAGCTCCTCCATCACTTGGATTTTTCTCATCAAAAGTCTTACGTTTCCCATTATCCACGGTTCAATTTACCATTCCTTTTGTCACTGGCACTCATGTAATGGGAGGATCTAGCACGACTGGCTTCATCATAGATATGACACTTAACCTTATGTGTGTAAGTTGATTACGCTTGTTTATGGAAATAACCCTTCTGAACCTGAGAAAAATGATAAGTTCCCTAAAAAAAACTTATACCTTCGATGTGATCAAATGTGATGAAATATTCGACTAATTGGTTGTAGATGGCCAAATTTTAGTGCCACCAGGCGCAAAAGTACCGCCATTATGACAAAGAAAGAAATGAGAGTTTTGTAAATATAATAGCTGGTTTCCACGACTTACAGTGGGTTGAAATTTATCTTCATCGGAGCTTTGCCTTTTGGAAAATTTTAGACTGTATCCATTTGCATAGTATGATTGTGTTACAGATGTATCTTAACCAGTAGATTATGAGAAAGAGGAGATGGTGAGGCATAAACCTATGTTCTATTTTGTAATGGACAATAGCTATATCGAGGAACAAAATACATTCTTTGAAAGACCACAGGAAGAAATGAAGAGTCATATGAAGCCCCTTTTCATAAGGGCGAAAGTGGAGAACACTACGGCGAATAAGATTCTAGTGGATGGAGGGTCTGCTGTTAATCTCATGCCTCATTTTTTGTTGGGGAAGATAGAAAAATACGACACTTGCTTGAGGCCACATAATATGGTGCTCTTTAATTATGAAGGAAAACAAGCCAGAGAATGGGCGTTATCTAGGTCGATGTGACGATGGGATCAATAACTCAACCTACTATTTTCATGGTTATTGCGTCGAAGGCGAGCTATAATTTGCTCCTTGTTCGAGAATGGATACATGGCGTGGGAGTTGTACCTTCTTCACTTCACTAGAAGATAACAATTTGGAGGAGTGGTGGAATAGTGGAAAATGTGGAAGTTGACCAGGGGTATTTCATGGAGGAAGTAAATCATGTAGATAAGAGGAACTTTGACAAAAATATATCTAAAATAGCACCTTGCACTCCAGCAGGGTTTGCTTACATGCCTCTAGAAGAGACATTTTATTCTCTCAGGTTACACCTCCCCCATGGATTCATGTGGGATAGGGAAATCATGGGCGAGAGAAATTATGACACCGTCCAGCCAATTGGCTGGAGTGATGAGTTCAACGAGGATGTATGAATTCGACACGTTAAATAAAATTTCGGTTTACGTAGCCGAGAACAGACTAAAAGCAGTCTTAGAGGCAGAAATACCACACATGGCTATCGAAGCCAATGAACTAGAAGTACTTGGCGTGGCTCAGGGAGTAAACATAGAGCCAAGACCACTCCAGATGTCGTAGTCAGCAGGCATAGAGGATGATGGCTTAAAAGGCCAGAGGCTCGATAGCATTTACGGCGATGAGCCTCTTGGCTTCGAAAAGGATCATGTCACATCAGACACAAAGATGTAGCCTCATGATCCACTTGAAGAGATTGACTTAAGTGAAAGAGGTAACAACAAATTGACTTATACCAATGTCAACCTCGACCCGAATCTAAGGTTAGAGGTAATTGATTTACTTCGAGAATTCAAAGAATGTTTTTCTTGGGATTATAAGAAAATGTCAGGTTTAAGCAGGGATTTGGTGGAATTAAAACTTCCAATAAAGCTTGGGAAGAAGCCGGTTAAATAGACGCCTAAGTGGTATGATAAGGTATGTGGAATGGCTTGCAAATATTGTTCCAGTGATTAAGAAAAATGAATCATTAAGGGTTTGCATCAACTTCAGGTATCTGAATGTAGCAACCCTAAAGGACGAATATCCAATGCCTTTCGTCGAGATGTTGGTCGACTCAACAGCCAGTTTCGAATATCTTAGTGTGCTTGATAGTTATTCTGGCTATAACCAAATTCGTATTGAATATGAGGATGTGCTGAAGATGACATTTCGTTTTCCAAAAGCATTAGGCACTTACGAATGGGTGGTGATGTCATTTAGCTTAAAGAATGTTGGGGAAACTTATTAGAAGGTGTTGAATTATATCAAAGCATTTATGAAAATGTATATTGATGATATAGTCATTAAGTCTCCGTTAGGAAATGGTCATCTCGACCACCTTCGACACTCATTCGAAAGAATGAGAAAGTATGGACTAAAGATGAATCCTCTTTAGTGTGATTTTTGTGTGCACGCTGGAGACTTCCTTGGTTTCATTTTCCACAAGAAGGGCATTGAGATTAACCAGAACAAGATTAAGGCCAAAATGGAAACTAGGTCTCGTTCGACCAAGAAAAATCTCAATCGTTATTAGGGAAGATAAATTTTTTAAGGAGGTTTATTTCAAACCTTAGTGGAAAAATTCGAGCATTCTTGTCGTTACTTCGCCTAGAGAAGGAAGTGTTTAGATGGCAGCCAGAGCATTAAAGGGTTATTAATGAAATAAAGAAGTACTTGATGAATCCTCTATTAGAAAAAGATTTTTTTCTTGACATTTCCTCTTTTAGTTTTGATCATAACAAAAGTATTAAAAGAAAAATGGTTTATTTGATGTGTATTTTATTTATGCAGATTCTTGTACATAAATAATCAGAATCTGTTTTACTTAGACGCACTTGGAGTTGCTTCATTGCTACCTTCTGGTGGCAGAGTTTGAAGAATAATTTCTAGTGTGGTTTGACGCAGACTTTAAACTGAATGCCTTAATATACAGATGAGTTTCTACACTTAGTAACTGTATATTAGCATCTGGTACCATTCAGAGTTGGTGATAAAGTTGTGGATTATCCATACTACTGAAAGCAAATTGTATTGTCTTATCAGTCTGTCAGCTCGAGTCTACAAGATTGCAAGGCTCAAGAAAAGATGGTACATTCTATGGATGTCTGCTCCTAACGACTATATCAGTATAAAACCTTTTGATGACTTTGATCTACTATCGCGCACGAATCAAAAACGAGTACTTTTTGAAAATATAGTTAACGGTAACGACAAGTCGAGTATCGTTCTCAAGGATTCTTGTATTATTATTAACCAACTGATTGGAAAATGGGGGGGGGGGTGAGTTTCGATTAAAATATGTGCCTTTGAAGGAAATGAAGGGAAAGGTGGTCGTTGATTGTATCGTGGATCATTTGATAGCTAGGATACCTCAAAATAATTTGGAGCAAAAACCTTGGAAGTTATACTTCGATGGCTCCAGTCATAAAAATGGAACTGGCATTGGAATCATAATCATTTCCCCTAATAAGATTCCTACAAAGTTCAAATATCAAATTGATGGTCCTTCCTCAAATAACGAGGTCGAGTACGAGGCTTTAATAGCTGGTATAGAGATCTTATTGGACTTGAGGGCAAAAAGAGTCAAAATAAGAGGAGACTCTAAATTGGTTGTTAACAAAAAACGAAGGAGTACAGACATATTAAGGAAAACTTAATCATGTAGTTTTTTATAGTTAACCAACTAATCAAGTGTTTCGACTTTGTGGACATTTAACATGTCCCTCAACTTGACAATCAAGAGGAAAATGAATTGGCGCAAATTGCCTCTAGGTACAAAGTGTAAAAAAAAGCTAGGAGATTTTATTGAAGTTCGATAAAGCGTGAAATCGATACGATTGTCCCCTTCAGACCTAGTAACGAAGAAGTTAAGGTCAGCTGATCTTGAAATTTTGAAGTCTTTGCCATTAAGGGTTTGACTAATACTGATTGGCGAAGACCAATAGTCAAATACTTAGAGAATCCAATTGGATCATTGATTGGAATGTTAAGTACAGGTCTCTAAGCTATGTTATCATGGGAAATTAATTATCTAAAAAGATACTTGAAGGTGTTTTGGTTAAGTGCCTTAATGAAAGCTAGGCATATCTTGTAGTATCGAATGTCCATAGTGGGGCATGTGGCGCTTATCAATTGGACAAAAAATGAGGTGGTTAATATTTTGACAAGGCGTGTATTGTCCTTCTATGTTAAAAGATCGTATTGAGTTTTCCAAGGGGTGTAAAGAATGTCAAGTGCATTCAGACATTTAACATGCCCCTGCGAGTGAATTACATGCAATTGTGAAGCCATGGCCATTAAGAGGATGGGCTTTGGATCTGATTGGTGAAATTTGATCAACATCTTTTAAAAGTCAATATTCACACATTTCAAATTGCTTGATGTTACATCATCAAGAACAACAGTAAACTCAATCTTGTTTTGAGCTAGAGAGCCAATGGTGAACAATGTTTTTTCACCATCGTATGCAAGGTTTTTCCCGTTCAGCTCAGCATTGTAAGTTTCTTGAACTCGGTCCAGTATCTTTCTACCAGAACCCTTCCCCTCAACAGGACGTCCATCTTCATAAAAAAGAGCAACCTGCACATATACAAATGGAACAATGGGAGGTAGAGGGGGCAAACATTCTTCATTTTCTTGTGAACCCATGGCCTTAACAGATCACAGAACTATTAGCCTGCTATGCATATTTAATCATTAAACCACTATTTAAACAACCAAAAGTACTATATACTAAAACATGCAAGTCATCCAAAAACCTAAAGCATCCTACACAAAAGAGAAGGCCCTGAATAGATAAACATTTTTTATTTAACAAAATATATATATATATATATATATATATATATATATATATATATATATATATATATATATATATATATATATATATATATATATATATATATATATATATATATATATGTCGTACCTCGAAAAATACGATCCTCGCGATGGACGCGGAAAATACGTTCGAACAGAGTCGCCACCGAACTTTATTCATTCCAAGGAAGGAATAGGAAAATATCGATAAAACCTTTAAAGAGAGATAAGAACATGGTCATCGCAACCAATATTCTAGGTTCGGGAATCGATTACACAAAGGGAAGGTATTAGCACCCTCTATGTCCGTTGTACTCAACGGGAACCTCTTGATCGATTCGAGAGTAAAGTTAGCTATGCTTGTTTGTTTTCTTCTAAGGTTTCTCCTATAGGGGGAATGGGTAGTTTTAAGATAGGGTGCTCGCCAAGGATTGGGGCCCTTGTGCCTACGTATCTTCACTTGTAAGAAGTGGAAAATCAGAGCATTCGTAGTTAGTGGGACTACGGGAAAGAGAGGGGATTGTGCTCGCCAAGATCATCGCAATCTTGTGCCTACGTATCTTACATTCGAAAGAGAATGAAGAATCAGAGCAGCCGTAGTTCGGCTAACTACGGTAAAAAGGGTTGGTAAACGAACGAGTGTTTAGGTCGCATTCTAACTGCTAAACGTTGGCTTGTCTGCTCGCTAGGGGAGGCTGAAGCATGAGTTTGTTATGCACGGAAGAAGGGACTAAACAATGTTCTTGGTAAAAGGTATTTAGGTTGGAGATCGCACGAGGGCGAGGAATTTAGTGTTTATCGTGTTGGATGTTTTGGTTAGAGGATATATTTGAATAGGTTTAAGGTTTCGATCGCACGGGGGCGAGAAAGAGGAGTTTGGTTAGGTTATTTGATGGAGAATGACGACTATTCGATGAACGATACGCCAGCCTCGTAATCAATTAATCGGGATATTATTGGAATGCTGGATCCCAATAACACGTTTTCATTCGAATAATTACGAAATATGTTTGAGAAAGTTTCAATCGCACGGGGACGAGAGAAAAGAGTTGGATTGAATATCTTAAGGGAGAATGACGACTACTCGATAAACGAGACGTCAGTCTCGCAACCAACTAATCGGGATATTATTGGAATGCTAGATTCCAAACACCTTTTTCATTCGAATAATTGTGAAAGTGTATTTGAATGGACAATAACGATATTGGTCCAAATAGTTAGGGCATGTATCTTATATACGAAAGGTCGAGTAATCCAAAACCTAAAGCGTACGCCCCAAGAGTGGTTACTCAAGAATTCAAGGAATGCGAGACTCCAAGAACTCAATTCTTTCGCAGTTTAGTTAAGAAAATAATTTTGGATTTGACGTACAGTTTAGAGTCGTACTAGGGTTTAGACTCGATCGTATGAAGGTGAGGAACGAGATTAGATGGTTTGAAAAAAATTAGGAGGAATGACGACTACTCGATAAACGAGACGTCGGTCTCGTAATCAAATCAATCGGGACACCATTGGAATGCTCGATCCCAACGATACCTTTTTCATTCGAAATATGTTTGATGGATGGTTTAGACGCGAAAGAGTTTGAATTGAAAGAGATTTTGATTCAATCACACGAGGGTGAGAAATGAGGTTATGCGGGTTGAAGAATTAGGAGGAATGACGACTACTCGATAAACGAGACGTCGGCCTCGTAATCAATTAGTCGGGATATCGTTGGAACGCTAGATCCCAACGACAATCTTTTTCATCCCATTAATTATAAAATAGTGTTTGTTGGACAGTGAGAGTACTTGTCCAAATAATTAAAGGAGGTATTTTAGAGACGAAAATTCGAACGACACACCATTCAAGGCGTACGCCTCAATAGTAGTCACTCTCGAATTCGAGGAATGCGCAACTCCAGGAACTTGATTATTTCGTGATCTAATTGTGAAAATAAATTAGGAATATTAGCGTACTCGGACTAGGCGTGCCATGTACCCTAGAAAATAAGATCGAAAGGGTCACAACTCGAGGTGTGCACCTCGAGAGCGGTCGCTTAAAAAATTCAAGGAAGGCGAGATCCAAGAATTTAATTGTTTTGAAATTTACTTAAAAAAAAGTTTAATTTAATTAAGAAAAATAGTCTTAATTTTTATAAAATTAATTAATCAATTGTAAAGTTTTGATTTGGGAAAAGTTTAATATTTTTAGAAAAGTTTCAATTTAATTAACAAAGTTTAGCTTTTCAATTCTTAAAATATTATTATAATTGACTGAGAAAAAGCCAAAAAATTTAATGTCTTTAAGAAGAGATAAGTTTTAAATAAAATATTTTTGAAAAGTTTAATATTTAAAATATTAATTTGATAATAATTTTAAAATACATATATATTTTCCATGAATAATTAGAATTTTATAAAAATATCTAATAAAATTTATTTTAAAAAAAATATCTTTTGTAAATCTCAATAAATTTGGGTGAAAAAAAAAAGTTTTGAAGAACAAAAGACGGAACAACCACAACTCAAGGGCGTGCGCCTCGAGAGTGATCATTCAAGGGTTCAAGGAGTGCTAGACTCCAAGAACCCACTACTTCCAATTAAAAGAAAAAAGATTTTTTATTTACCTCTAAACAAATAAAAGATTTTGAATTTAGTAAAAAAAAAGTTTGATAAATTAAATAAATTTTAAACAAATCAAATTTAAAACAAATATCAAATAAAAAAAATCTAATAATATTATTAATAATATTGCCAACATTACTAATTATGTTATAATAAACCCTTTTCAACTTCCATTAGGTCTTAATTAAATCACAAATCAATATAATATTACTAACAAAAACTTCATGCATCAAATGAAACCTAATAATAATCTAAATTAAATAAATCAGCCACCAAAAGGTCAACCCAAACGTTATCCCCCTTCCCCACACGTGACTAGCTCGGGAAACCCAATCCCCTCGCAGCCCACAGAAACCAAAGGACAGGGAAATTCAAAAGTCACGTGGAAAGAAACTAATTGGGAAAAGGGAAAGAAAAAAACTACAGCCACAAGTGTGGCCCTGGGGAAGATAAACGGCCAGCCACAAAGACGGTACCCATCCCCTTCACTAACTGAGTTTTTCAGCGTGGATCAGCTAACCTTCGCTTACCAGCCTTCGAGCTCTAATCTCATTCTAAAATATCATCTCAGTTTCTCTTCCCCTAACCATGAACTCACAAAGAAACGACCTCATTCTTCAACTTAAAACCCCAAATAGCAGATATCAAAACCCTAATCCCTCTATTAACTAATTCAAACAATACATAGAGAACTTATTCGGTTATTCATGGTGTACGAATCAATAACGAGGAAACGATGAAGAAGAGTCAGGGTTTTACCTATCAGAAACGGTCCTTTGATTCTAACAAGGTAATCAGCTTCTGATCTTTTCGTTCGTTGAGTTCTATCTTCTCACTTTTATCTGCTTGTATGTTGACTACACCGTGTATGCGAGTGGCTATGTTCTAGTTGATTAGAGCTTCGATACGAAGCTCTATCAATCTTCAGAAAGAACTTTGAAAATCTCTTTAGGTAGGATGGATTGAATTTCGTAGAGGTATGCTAGGGTTTTTCCTTGGCCGCCCTTTCTCAAACGTGAAGCATCCAATATATAGGGGCTCAATGCTATGTGATTAGGGTTTTTCTCCCAGCAAGATGTGAGTTTTTGGGTGGAAATTGGAGTTCCTTTCGGACTCCTTTTTATGATTTCTGTTTGTTATTTGTTTTTGGAAATACTTGTTTTTACTCTGATTTTTTACCGTGTATTCTTGGGATTTTTGCGTTTGTACTATGGTTACATGGTAACTTTGCTTTAACATTGTTTTTTAAACCAACTGCTGTTGCTATGCAATACTTCCAGATTTTGCTATGAATTCTTGATTCCACGATCTGTTCTATTCATATTATTAGAAGTCTGACTACTGCTTGCTCATTATGCAGGTGTGATAAGTTGGTCTAAGGTGAGCATTCTTCTACCGATCTTGTAGCCGCAGCTGCTTCGACTTATAGGTTGCCGGACCTGCACTTTCAGCAAGAGCTTGAGCCCTTTTGCGTTTTTGAATGGCTATTTCCATGGATGCATTCGCCGAGGCTTTGGCTTCTCTAATCCTAAGCGTTGCATTCTCTTCCAAGGCCTTTTGTTCAATTTCAAATGCCCTCATCAAACTTGGCTGGTAGCTTCTGCCGAACCGACCTGGCTGCCTCTTCTTTCGCAACAAAGGCTTTAAAATAGGTGGTGCTTCGAAAATATCCATCTTACTAAGTTTTATTTTACTGCGTAAAGTACAGTTTTTTACGGTTATGAATATGTTCGACGTGGCCTTGAAAGCATTCTAACTTTTTCATTTTGCAGGACCTTATTATGACAGTAACATGGGCGTATTTCAAAGAATTATGGAACGATTTGTAGGGATGCAGAAATGAGTCGTGATTTGAGAGGGCTTGGAGGCATAACTCATGAGTGTCAAGTATATTTAAACCCCAAATCAATTCTACCTTGAGTCAATTCAAACCCTGGAGGCATAACTCATGAGGGCTTGTTGCATACACATATCTGCCAGTTACGTGTGTTAGAATGACACACTGCTGAAATTTCCTTCCACAGGTGATGGTTCACAGCTCTTTTCAAAAACCTGGAGAAAGACCGTTGTCGCGTGGATTATGAACGGGATCCGTCCCCATTCTAATCTTCGTGTGTTATCCTGTTTATTCTCAATTCGAAGGGACATTGTCTTGATTCCTTGCAAGCAAAGCCAACAGTCAAATGGAACTAAGCCGGAGCCCTCCGTGTTTTACAG